AAGGATGGCCTCTCGCTGATCCGGCAGAAGTTCTCCACGGCACCAGAGCAGCGACGGTTGGCGGGAGAAATGGCTACGGCAAACAAAGGTGAGTTGGGACCCGGGTGGTACTGGAGCGGGTCTCTGGGATCCTGTCACCATAGCGACCTGAGCATCCATCCAGCGTGGTCTCTCTGCACAGTGTTCCCTCTGAGCTGAGTGAGCGTGAGCTAGCTCACAGTTTTTTAGCCTCTGGCAGCCAAACCGCTCGCTCACAACTTTAATGCCAGCAGCTCACAAAGCGGAATTTTTGCTCACAGGACTCCACAGCTTAGAGGGAACATTGGTTGGGACCCGGGTTGTACTGGAGTGGGCCTCTGGAATCCTGTCACCATAGCAACCTGAGCATCCCTCCAGCGTGGTCTCTCTGCGCAGTGAGCTGAGTCAGTGTGAGCTAGCTCACAGTTTTTTAGCCTCCGGTTCACCCATTTTTGTCTGAGCTCAGGAAGGGTCGGCTCCAGAGCGAACTAGTTTACGCAGGCGCCAAATGGCTCGCTCACAACTTTAATGCCAGCAGCTCACAAAGTAGAGTTTCTGCGGAGAGCTGGTCCTGCTAGCGTGTGTGGGAGTGAGATACATGGATGGCTGGAGGCCGTGGGTTTGATCTCTCCGCTTAAAGGATTTTGCATGTTGTGGAAGAGCTTTCTTTGCTGGCAGTTAAGAATAGTCCAAGCGTCATAGCAGACTGGCCCAAGGGCCTGATGTCGGGTAGGTCAACTTTGTGGTGGGCTAGGAGCTTTCCCCCAATGGGAACTTGAAGTGGCTTACCTCATTCTCCTCTCTTCCGTTTTATCCTCACAACAACCCTGTGAGGTAGGCTAGGCTGTCACAGTGCAGCTGGGCCTGGCTTTCAAGGGTAGAGAAAAGCCATGCAGAGTTCCTAGTGGTTGGAGCGGTCGGGCAGGAGGAACCTGGCTTTAACTCCTCACTCGGCCTTGAAGTTCATTGAGTGACCCTGGGCCAGCTCTGTTCTGAGCGTGGCCTACCTCACAGAGTTGTTGTGAGAACAAAATGGTGGAAGGGGAGAACCACGTCTATTGCTCCGACCTCTCCAGCAGGATAGAATCACAATGGTTGCAGGAAGCTGCTCTGCGACTGTGCTCTCTAGTATGTCTGTCTACGTGCACACACAGATGTGTAAATTTGCTTGTCTCTTTGTTTAGGGGTCATTGGTTACCTGTCCCAAGGGCACCCGGCACGCCTACCTCACAGGGTTGTTGTGAGGGCAAAGTGGTGGAAGGGGAGAACCAAATCTATTGCTCTGACCTCTCCAGCAGGATAAAATCACAATAGTTGCAGGAAGCCGCTCTGCGACTGTACTCTCTCTAGTATGTCTGTCTATGTGCACACACGGATGTGTAAATTTGCTTGTCTCTTTGTTTAGGGGTCATTGGTTACCTGTCTCAATGGCACCCGGCACCCCTGGAACCACCCCTAGTGAAGCAATGTGGCTGACATATTACTTTATCTAAATAGGGTCTGTGTACCTTTTTATACAAGGGGCCGAGGTGGCTCAGAGCTTAAGACGCTGAGCTGCAGACCGGAAGGTCTGTAGTTCGGCAGCTCGAGACCTGAGTGCTGCGTGATGGAGTGAGCTCCTGTCTCTGTCCCCAGCTCCTGCCAACCTAGCCATTTGAAAGCAAGAAATTGCAAGAAGATACATAGGTGCCGCTTCGGTGGGAAGGTAATAGCGTTCCGTGCGCCTCGGTGTTTAGTCATGCCGGCCACGTGACCACGGAAACGTCTTCGGACAGCGCTGGCTCTTCGGCTTGGAAATGGAGATGAGCACCGTCCCCTAGAGTCAGATTCGACTGGCTTTCGAGCAAGGGAAACCTTAACCTTTACTTACCTTTTTATACAGCCCCACTGGGCAAAACTGGCTCCGCAGGGTCACTCCCTGGAATGGTTGTGCAATTGCAAAACAGGGCTCAGGGAAAAAGGGAGTGTCCATGACTCAGAGGTGGAGCATCTGCTTGGCATGCAGAAGGTCCCAGCCAGGTTCAATCCCCGGCATCTCCAGTTAAAAGGACCAGGCAGGAGGTGATGTGGAAGACCTCTGCCTGAGACCCTGGAGAGCTGTAAAGAGGGGCTGTGGCTCAGTGGCAGAGCCTCTGCTTGGCACACAGAAGGTCCCAGGTTCAATCCCCAACATCTCCAGCTAAAAAGGACCAGGGAAAGACCTCTGCCTGAGACCCTGGAGAGCTGTAAAGAGGGGCTGTGGCTCAGTGGCAGAGCCTCTGCTTGGCACACAGAAGGTCCCAGGTTCAATCCCCAACATCTCCAGCTAAAAAGGACCAGGGAAAGACCTCTGCCTGAGACCCTGGAGAGCTGTAAAGAGGGGCTGTGGCTCAGTGGCAGAGCCTCTGCTTGGCACACAGAAGGTCCCAGGTTCAATCCCAGGTATCTCCAGTTGAAAAGTACCAGGCTGGAGGTGATGGGAAAGACCTCCGCCTGAAACCCTAGAGAGCTGTAAAGAGGGGCTGTGGCTCAGTGGTAGAGCCTCCGCTTGGCATGCAGAAGGTCCCAGGTTCAATCCCCAGGAAGGAGATGATGGGAAAGACCCTCTGCCTGAGACCGTGGAGAGCGGCTGCCAGTCCGAGGAGTCAACAGTGTCCTGAATGGACTGATGGTCTTGATTCAGCACAAAGCCACTTCCTGGGTGTTCAAAAGACCCAGCGTGCTGTCGGGGGTCTCTGGAGCCTGAGCCGGCCCCAGCTAGAGCCGGACCTCACCCTCCCTCGCCCAGAGCTCAGAAAAGAATAGTGGCATCTGTGCTGTTCTGCCGCCAGCAATTAGTGCTTCTTTGTTGTCTGAGCCGGCAGGAGTTCTGTGTGCAAAAAAGCAAAGCCATGCAGCTGTTGCTCCGCGCTCGGTAAGTATGTGGGGACATTTTCCACCTGGTTCTTTAATTTGGGGGGGGGGCTGCCAGGAGCGTGTCCTGAATTGGCTGTGGAGATGGGAGCAGAGGTTTCCCTTGTGCCTGCACCTCATCGACTTCTGACCCGGCCTGCCTGTGGACGGAGCCCCCGACTGCCTCTCCCACCCTCCAACTGTGTATCCTTTCTCTCCTGCCGTGGCCAACTGTCCCCAGAAGGAGGGAAGGCGAGAAACACAGAGAATGACCTGCTAGGGAGAGAGAACATAAGAGAAGCCCATGTTGGATCAGGCCAATGGCCCATCCAGTCCAACACTCTGTGTCACACAGGGGCCAGAAATACCAGGTGCCATCAGGAGGTCCACCAGTGGGGCCAGGGCATTAGAAGCCCTCCCACTGTTGCCCCACCCCCCAAGCACCAAGAAGACAGAGCATCACTTGCCCTGGATATAAGAACATAAGAGAAGTCAATGTTGGATCAGGTCAATGGCCCATCCAGTCCAGCACTCTGTCACACAGTGGCCAGAAATACCAGGTGCCATTAGGAGATCCAGCAGTGGGGCCAGGACAGTAGGAGCCCTCCCACTGTTGCCCCCCCTCAACTACCAAGAGTACAGAGCATCACTGCCCCAGATATAAGAACAGAAGAGAAGTCAATGTTGGATCAGGTCAATGGCCCATCCAGTCCAACACTCTGTCACACAGTGGCCAAAAATACCAGGGGCCACCAGGAGGTCTACCAGTGGGGCCAGGACACTAGAAGCCCTCCCACTGTCCCCCCCCCCAAAGCACCAAGAAGACAGAGCATCCCTTGCCCCAGACCGAGAGTCCCTATCTATACCTTCTGGCTAATCGCCACAGATGAACCTCTGCTCCATATGTTTGTCCAATTCCCCCTTGAAGCTGTCCATGCTTGTAGCCGCCATCAACTCCTGTGGCAGTGAATTCCATGTGTTAATCACTCTTCGGGTGTGAGATCCAGTTTGGTGTAGTGGTGAAGTGAGCAGACTCTTATCTGGGAGAACCGGGTATGATTCCCCACTCCTCCACTCGCAGCTGTTGGATGACCTTGGGCAAGCCATTGTCCTCTTGAAAAAGAGCAGTTTGTGTCAGAGCTCTCTCAGCCCCACCTTCCGTATCTGTTCTGTTGTGGAGAGGGGAAGGGAAAGGAGTTTGGAAGCCGCTCTGAGACTCCGAGTGAAGGGCGGGGTATAAATCTGATCTCCTCTTCTTCCTCCTTTTTTCTGTTCTAACCTGACTGCTCAGCAATTTCACCGAGGGCCCACGAGTTCTTGTATGGTGAGAAAGGGAGAAAAGTACTTCTTTCTCTACCTGCTCTGTCCCATGCATAATCTTCTAAACCTCGATCATGTCACCCCATAGCTGTCGTTTCTCCAAGCCAAAGAGCCCCAAGCGCTTTAAAGAGCAGGGTAGCCCAGGGCTCTGGTGTTTTTGTGTGCCTGCCGCCCCCTACAGAATTCTCTGCCAGCCTCCAGGGAAACCGTCACTATTCCCGGCAGTTGCATCCCGGCTTTTCCGTGGCCACGGGACGCGCTGGCTGCCACTGGCTGTACGTGGAGACTAGGCAAGTTCTTGGACGATAGGTCGGTCGGTAGCACCGGCCTCCGCGTCTCCTGGCTTTCCACAAGCTATGCAAAGCTGAAGAACAAACGTCAAGTCCAGGGGGCACCTTTAAGACCAACGAAGTTTAATTCTGGGTATAAGCTTGCATGTGTTGTTCAGGGTGCGTACCCTAGCGTGTACTCAACAGGGCTCTTTTCAGTGTTCTCTGCAGCTCATGCCAAAAGGCTCTTTCTGGAGCAAATCAGTGTATGCTTTCATATGCTGCAGAGAGCCAGTGTGGCGTAGTGCTTAAGAGCGGCAGACTCTAATCCGGGGGAACCAGGTTTGATTCCCCGCTCCTCCACATGCAGCCAGCGGGGTGACCTTGGGTCAGTCACAAGTTCTCCCTATGAGCAAAGGTTAAAGTGCTTAGGGCTCTTTAGCTTGGAGAAACGACGACTGAGGGGTGACATGATTGAGGTTTATAAGTTTATGCATGGGATAGAGCA